AGGGCTCATTTTGTTTTTGATTGTGTTGTATTTCGATTGGGGCACCTCGAACGCCACTAAACAAATCGCTGCCGCCTGGGGGCCGCGCCGACCGAGGCCCCGCGGCGATTGTGCAGGCGTCTTGCGCGGAGCCTGGGTGGTATCTTTCGCTGCCCTGGGTCGTGGCCATGTAGCGGCAATCTTGGGGGCCCTCGAATTTGCCGCCCAAGGCGCCGGCGCAATCGGCGCGGGCTGGGCTGGGCGCGAGCGGCGCCGCGGACTGGGGTCGCCGCGGGGGGGGGGGGGGCGGCGCGGACGGCCAGGGGGAACAAGGAGGTGAATTGTCTTGCGCAGTTGTGTTCTAGAGCTCGGACATATGTTTTTCGCGGTTCGTCGTCGCCCCCCTGGCTCTTGCTTCCCATCCTCGTCGTCGTCTACCCGCCCCCCATCCCTTGGCCTCCGCGCCCCGACACGGACCTCTGGCTCTTGGTCAGAGCCCCAGTTTTCTTGCCCTGGCCCTGGCCCCAGCCCCCCTCCTTGGCTCCTTCGCCCTTGGCCCTGGCCCCAGCCCCCCTCGCCCTCTCCATTGGCCCTAGCGCCCCTGGCCCTCGTGGTTCGTCGTCGCCCCCCTGGCTCTGGCATGTTTCCCTTGGCCCCCTCGCCCCCGTCTTCTTGCCCTGGCCCTGAACCCAGCCTCCCCGTTTGGCTCTGGCGCACCCTGGCCCTCGCCCTGGATTTTCAATGTTCGCGGTTCGTCGTCGCCCCCCTGGCTCTGGCCTGCGCCCCCTGGCCCCCGTCGCCCCCGCCCTCTTGCCCTGGCCCTGGACCCAGCCCCCCCCTGGCTCTGGCGCCCCCTGGCCCAGCCCCAGCCCCCCTCGCCCCGGACAGTTTATTTTTGTTGTTCGTCGTCGCCCCCCTGGCTCTGGACTGCTTCCCCTGGCCCCCCTCGCCCTGGACCGTGCGTTTTCGCGGTTCGAACCCGGGCCTCTGGCGCGTGGCCCGAGCTTCAGTCCCCCTGCCTTGGCCCTGGACCCCACTCGCCCAGACCCTGGCCTTGGCCGCGGCCCCCCCCGCCTTGGACTTTTCATTTTCGCGGTTCCGCCCCGTGGCTCTGGCCCCCCATCCCCTGGCCCCCTCGCCCCCCGCACGCCCCTCCTTCTTTCTCTCCTCAAATGCGCAAGAGCCAGGGCACGCGCGCAATTTGTTTGAGGGGGCGGTGGGCAGGATGGGCGGGGGGGGGAGGGGCAGGGGGGTCCACGTCGTCGGCGGCAGTCTGGGGGGCGTTCTTGCTGGCTTACTTTCTCGCAAGTCGCAGCGGCGGCAGCCGCGCGGGCCGCGGCGGCGCGCTCTCGACGTCGTCGGCGCGCGGGGGCACGCAGGACGTTCTGCCATCGGCATTCGCGCGATGATGGCACAGTAGCCATATGAGAGTTTGGATCGCAGGAGTGCCGGGTGGCCCGCGGCCCTTTGCAGTGGCGAGTCGGCCTGTAGTTTCGCGCGGCCCGGGGCCCGCCTCCATTGACTTTTCTCTACGTCATCACCCTGTCCTCCTCGCCCCTAGGGCCCGCTCTCAGCGGCCCCATCGAGGCTGCTCCCGCCGCCGCCCCCATTCAAGGTCCAGTCGCCCCCCCTTTCCGTCCTCTGTGCCCCCCTCTTCGCCCAGTGTTAATATCCAGGCGATGTCGCGCGTTTGCCCCCTCTCCTTCTCCTCGCGCGCGGGTTTCATCGGCCCCGCCGTTGTTTTCCCGGCGCCGTCTTTCGTGTCTGTGGCTGCGTTGCTGCTTCTGCCCCCTCGCGCCTTCCGCCGTGTCGCCGCCGCTGCTGCCGTCGCAGATGCGGCGTCGGAGATGTGCAGATTCGGCGGGGTTGCGTCGTCGACTCGCAAGCGAGGGTTTCGACTCGTCCGGGGTGGATCGCCCATGAGCGAGCGCGCGCATAGGCGCTGGGCGTGTGCCGCGTGCAACTGCGCTAATCCAGCGAGCGGTTTCTACGTAATTACGCAGCGGAGACATATGTTTCATTTATGTCGCAGCATTGTCTTGCATTGTTTATGTAATTTAATGTTTTCCTGGATTCCCAGGCTGCCCACGAGTAGCTGCCTTACAAGGTGGGGCGAAGGTCGTCGATGGAGCAGCGCACCACGCGCGCGATGGAGGCACTGCAGCTGCCCGCGCACAGCGGCTGAGTCGAGGCAGCGAGGGGCGAAGGCCGCCGATTGCTACGTCGGCGCTTTAAGCAGCGCGAGGCCGCAACCTCGCGGCGGGAAATGCCTGCGCAGGGTGGGTCCTGGCCCAAGGCTCCGTCGCTTCCGTGGGTTTCGTTCACTATGTTTTGGGACGTGCAGCGTCATCAAAACTGGAGGGCCGCCCGCGGCCTTCCACGGGGCTTCTGTCATCGGGATGTCGACCGCCACCCTGTCCAGGTTGCGAGCCATCGCAGGCGGGGCCGCTTTTGGCCATGGGAAATGTAGGTCACGCACGTTGCAGTTCTTGCTTGGTCTCGTGGACCGCCTGGGCCCCGTCTTCCAGGCGAACGTGTTTCCGCTCAACATGCGGCAGCAGGCGGTCAAGCAAAGTTGTGTCCCCAAGCACATCATGACGTCCCGTGTCGATGCCTATCCTACCGCGGGGTCCAGGGAGTGGCCCAGGGTCGGTGGGCCTGCTGGCGCTGCATGTGCCACCTTGGATCGTGCCGGCTGGAGAATCAGAGGATGGGACAGTTGGGAGATTTGCAAAGGCCTTGCACTGGACTTACACTCTTTCGGGAAGCGCTCCCTGGGCAAGCTTATCTCTTCGGCTACGCATAGGGAGCTCCTGGAACACATTGGGCCCCTTGTCAGCAGAGTCCCGACGAAATCGCCCTGCCCCTTCTGGGCCCCATCGTGGGCGCCCTAAGGGGGCCCAGTAAGACTGGAAGGAACACTGGGGCCTCCTTTCTGGCCGACGTGGTCTCAGGGGGGCCCCCGACGCAAGACGTTTTGTTCAGGGACCGCCGAGTGTCTTGGCCTTTGTGCCTGGTCTGCGGTTTTCCCGCGGGGGTCTCCGCGGGGCCGCTGCTTCGTGCGCGACGGTTCCCATGTCTGTCGCAGGGATCTAGACGTGGACCACTGCGCCCAGATGGGCGAGGCACGGCGACGCCCATGACTTCTTGGCCACGGGTGCCCTGACTGCCGATCCTGGGCACGACTGGCCTCAGTCCCTTGTGTTAGGTATCGCGGGGTGGGAAAAGCGGCCCGCCTCGGGCTTCCTGCGCCCTTTCATCTGCGTCGATGGTTCGGGCCTCGACGGAAGCTCTGCGCACGGCGGACGCGCAGCGTGGTCAGTCGTCGCTGTGGGCCCCAGGGCCAGCGTTGCAACGGGGGGCATATTTGGCTCGCTCCCGCGCCCGATCCTGGAGTTTGGACCAGGTGAGCTGCATGCGCTGATGACAGCTTTGCCACGCGTGACTGTCCCAGACGCACGGATGATCCACACCGATTGCCCGGCCGTTTTGGATGTTTGGGGTCGGGACTCGAGGTCAGACTTGAACGGCATCGCCCTGTCGGAGTTGTGGGCCTGCGTCGGGGACTGCGCCGAGGAGATCGGGGTCGTGAGAGCGAGCCCAAAGAAGTTTAACGTAACGCTTATTGGTCTGGAATCCGAGCTTCATCCGAGGCCCCGCACAAGGCCTGGAGGGAAGCCATGAAGCCGATGGTCTCACAAAGCGCGGCGCGCCCATGCAACCTTACAGTTCATGCCTCAGAGACCTCCAGCGTAGACGACACAAGGAGGTCGAGGAGTTCTACCGTATCGAGCCAATTTCGGGGAGTACTTGAGCATATGCATTGTTTCCCGATGCCGACAAATCAACAAGCCCGCCCCCCTCGCCCCACGCACGACCCCCTCCTGCTGGTGTTTGGCCGAAGCGGCCACCATGTGCAGCGGACCGGCAGGGAGGGCAGGGGGTTTCAGATGTGGTAAGTGCGGGGCCCCGGCGTTTTCAGGGGCGGCCATCTGCCGCTTGCCGTGCACAGGATTCCCGAGGCCCGCCAGGAATGCCCACGTCTCCCACAATATGTGGGCAACAGCGGGCAGGCTGATATGGTTTAGTCGTTGTGCTGTTTTCGGTTCAGCTCGGCTGAAGCTCCTCGGGGTGCTGCGTCCTGCCCCCCCCAATCGCGCTGCCCTGCAGACCCTTGAGCAGCTGAAGGTGGGGAAGGAACCATCCACCAAGCGTTTCATGGGGGGGTCCTCAGCCTGCGGCGACGCCGACCCAGCGCTGATCGGGAACCGACCGCGGGTGACGCCCCTATCTCTTTCCTTTCCTGTTCGCGGCCGTCGTCACTCGCCAGCTGTCACGTGGCTCCCGCATGGAGGGACGTGGCCGCTCAAGGATCGAAGGTTCGAAAGGGGGGGAATGGGGAGGGAGAAGGGGAGGACGAGGAAAAGGATGTTTTGAGCTCCGCGCCCACGCCTCCAAATCGGGGAAGGCCCTGAAATGGCGCCAGCAACGGAGGGAGGTGCTGGCGCCTTAAAAGACCGAGAGCTAGTCTGAGTCGCCTGAGTTTTCGGCGGGCTGAGGCGCGAGGAGGACGAGGAGAAGGAGCAGGAGGAAAAGGACCAACGGGAGGAGGAGGGGGAGGAGGAGGAGGAGGAGAAGGAGCGGGATTAGGAAGAGGAGGAAAAGGAGGAGCAGGAGGAGGAGGTGGAGGAGGAGAAGGGAGAGGGGGAGGGGAAGGAAGTCGGAGGAACAGGAAGAGAATGGTAACCAGCAGAAGGGATAGGGATGGAAGGATGCAGAGTGGGAAGGAACGCGGAACCGAGGAGGGAGGAGGAAGGTGGAGGATGTGGAGGAGGAGAAGGGGGAGGAGGAGGAGGAGGAGGAGGAGGAGGAGGAGGAACTGGATGAGGAGAAGGAGGAGGATGAGGACGGGGAAGGAACAGGGAGGGGTGTGTGTGGGGGGGGGGGGGGGCAATCCGATGGGGGCCGCCACGCAGGAGGGGGGCGTCGCGGGCCCGATCTCCTCTTTGGCCGCGCCCGAGGTCCACCGTCTGGCAGTCCCCCGACTCCAGCCCCGCCCTCGGCCGCCGCACGGCCCGAGGAGGAGGAAGAGGAGGAGGAGGAGGAGGAGGAGGAGGAGGAGGATGCGAGCGGATTCGAGCGGGCCACGTCGGATCGCGACGCCCTACGATTTCGCGCCACGGATCTCTGACCGCGTCGGGCCGTCCCCGGGCCGACCGATCCAGAACTCAAGGACGCCTTTTTAGTGCTGCTCTTCGGCACCTTCTCGAACGCGCTGGGCTTCAGCACACTAGCTGATGAAAAGAGCCCCTCTCGCGCAGGGCCCGCGGTGCACGGCTGCGCTTCTCACACAAGCTGACGTCGGCGTTGCAGCTGAGTCGGTACGCTCGTGCCCCCACTGCTGACACTCCTGGCAGTCCTTGCTGCCATTGCCTGTCTTCCCCTTTCTCGCACGATGTGATCACAGCGTTGTAGCTAGTCTAGCGCCAGTTTCGCCTCCCACTCCTCGCAGAGCAACGGCGGATAGCTGGTGATGTCAGGCTCCATATTTGTCCACATCGTAGTTGATGGCGTTGGGCGTATGTTTCGCCTTCCACCTCTCGGTGCGTAGCGCTAGAGCCTGCTGCCAGTGCCCGCCCTTGTCGCCGCCGCTTTGCACGGCGTAGTGGACGACTAAGGCATCGGGCTCCAGGTTCGCCTTCCCCACCGCTAGAGTAACGTTAAGGAGGGAATAGGTTGGGTGGCTCCAGCTTTGTGCACTGATCCCAGCGCTGTAGCTGATGACGTCGGGCTCGTCCGTCGCTTTCCACCTTTCGCTGCGCAGCGCCAGGGCCTGTTACCACTGCCCGCCCTTCTCGCACGCGCTGTGCTCGGCGCGGGTAGTGACCAAGTCGGGCTCCAGCTTCGCCTCAGTCATGCCCTGATCCCAGCACTGTAGTTGACGACGTTGGGCTCTTGCCTTCGGCGTCCCTCTCTCCTTGCGGAGCGGCGCCCCCTTGTCGCACGCGCTCTGACCAGCGCTGCGGTCGGGCTCCAACTTCGCCTTCGCCTTCGACGGACCCTGCATCCAAAGCTGTAGCTGATGCCGTCGGGCTCGTCGTTCATCTTCCCGCAGCGCCAGCGCCTGCTGCCACTGCCTGCCCCCTTTCTCGCACGAGCTGCTCCCAGCGCTGTCGCTGATCGTGGCCCACCCGCACTCTTTCTCGCTGCGCCAGCGTCTGCTGCCACTGCGCGTCCTTCTCGCATGTGCTGTGGTCGGCGCTGGTGCCTGCTGGATCGGGCTCCATCTTCGCCTCCCACTTCTCACATTGCCTGCTCTTCTCGCCTGTGCAGCGCCTGCTGCCACTGCCCAGGTTTTCGCACGTCCCGATGCCCGCACTGTGGCAAATCGCATTGGGATCCAGCTTCGGTGGGTCGCAACGTCCAATCGTGACGTCGGACTCAACTGTGAATGATGTTAGGGCCTATTTCTACTGCTGCCGCTGCTCCTCTGTCTCGCATGCCGTCATCTCCCTGAGCCGATCGTTGTGGAGGATGCCGTCGGGCTATCCGTGCGCTCCTCGAGGGACTCGGAGCTCGCCTTTGGGGGTGTGGCTTGCGTCGCATTCTTGATGACAATGGGAGGGACAAGAAGGCGAGACCGGGAGCGGAGGAGACGAGAGAAATGTCATCGTGCACGCGTGTCTCGGCGGGGGCAAGGTCTCAACGCTGTAGCTGAAGCCGCGGGCCTCCCACCTTCTTAATGTCGGCTCGCATCAACATTGCAATTCCCAAGTTGGCTGATGCACCTCAGGCCCCCTCCCCGAGAGGAATTGCTACGAGGAGAGTGAGGAGGAGGAGGAGGAGGAGGAGGAGGAGGAGGACGCGCGTGGGGCGGGGCCGCGGGGGCCGGGCCGTGGAAGCGGCGGCGGCCGAGCTGCGCACGGGCATTGTGCAGCCTGGGATCGAGCATTATCGCGCGCGGCGAGAAGCTTGACGCTATGGGTGCCGATCAATGGAGAGGAAGTCTGTTGTAAAACATGTTTTACTCGTGCAGAAAGCATGCATCAATCGACTTCAGAACAGAACATGCCTCAAACATGTTCAGAACATGTTTAATTCAATGGTAGGATTGTTAGAGTGTCCATTGGCATGGCATCCACAAGCCTGGCGGGGCAGCGTCGGGGAGGGGCCCCCAGGATGGGCTCCGAGCGGGAAGCGGATGCCTCGGGGGGGCGTCCCCCGCACGAGTCGCGGAGGCGGGCAGCTGGTTGTCTCTCTCCGGCTCCTCCCTCCCTCCGCGGGCGCCCTCTCCTTCCGTCCCCCCCCCGTCCTGCATGCGGGAGAATTCGTAACGCCGTAGCCTGGCTTTGCCTCACGCGCGAGCGGATCGCCGCTGCCGCGCCGCGACGGAAACAACAGGTCTTTCTCCAGGGGGTGGGCGCCACAGCGCTGGCCTCGCAGGATGTCAGGGGGTCCTTCTCCAGCGAGTCTTGCAGGATCTCAGAAGTCGCTGTTGGATGTTTCAGGAGAGCGGGAGCGATCTGGAGAGGGATTTCGCAAATCGCAGGTCATTATCGTTTGACCGATCCCTCTCCTCATCCCCGTCCCGATCCCCACCATTTCACCACCCCAGTTTGGGATATGCCCCTGGAAGCCAAGGGATATCAGCCTGTACCCCTATCGAGTAGTGGGGTAAATCGGCCAGTTGGGAGGAAGCAGCGGTGAGGCGATGCTCAGGCAGAACGAATGCGCCTCTGCCCGAATCTCCTCAACACTGGCTAAGCATCCCCCAGATCGAAGTTGATGTCTTTGGAGGAGGGGTCTCGGGTCTTCCTTCCCAGAGCTGAGGAGTGTGGGAGCAAGTTCGAAGGTCGAGCTGTTGTTCCACGCCTGCTTTTTTGGTGTCTCCAGATGCCTCCAGGGGCCTCCAGGGGGCCTCCAGGGACCTTTTGTGATTCGGAGGTCGTACGGGGTTCAAATTGTTCCCGGGAGTGTTTGGAGGCACTTGGTGGGTTCAAAGGGTGGGGGGGGCGGCGGCCAGGGAGGGGGAAGGGGGGGCGAGGAGGAAGGGATGGGAGCGGTCGGAAAGAGAGAGAGAGAGAGAGGGTTTCGGAAGGTCTAGGAGCGAGGAGGAGGAGGAGAAGGAGTAGGGAGGAGGGAGGAGGAGGAGGGAGGAGGAGGAGGAGGAGAAGGAGAGGGAGGAAGAGTCAAGCTGGCCAGGTCGAACGAGCCAGCGGGCCAACTCCTAGCAACCAATGGCGGCACCACCTGGCAAAGGCGCCTTCCGACCTGGCGAGCGGAAGGCACTCGCGCGCGGCCCTGCCTCCGACGATCTGGCACGGGGGGGGGGCACGCTCGGGCCGCGCACTGGCGGCAACGGAGCTTCCGAGCGAATCCTTGCGCGCCGCTGCGGCGAGGGCGCCATTCGGCCTGCTCTCGGGCGGCCAAGTGTCCGATGAGCGTGGCGAAGACGAAGCATGCGCCGCGCCGAGGCAGCATTTCGGAGCAGGAATAGGTACCCATACCTCTACCCTCCGCCCGTCTTCTTCGTTTTGGGCCTCCTGGGTGGCCCTCGTCGCCACCGCTGGATTCGCCTCGAAATTCTGGTCAAAACTCACCCGGGAGAGGTCTGGACAGTAGCGGTATCGGTACCTTTTGGTGTCCCCAGGATCACCAGTCTCACACACACACACCTACACACACAAGTTGCGCGGTGTTCGGACCAGGGCAGCATTCACCCGCTCTCGCGCGGCCCCGTTGCCACTGCCGCTCTCATGCGATCGGCGAGCGAACCACCCGAAAACTCAACTTCCAGGTCAAATCGCACAGAGCTTGGGCGAGGGCTACAAGTCGCCTGTTTGCGCGTGGCCTCGCCTCCCAACGGCTTTTGCGAATGAAGGTACGCGCCGCGTCGACGCGGGAGCGCCACTTTCAGGGGAACTCTGCGCGGCGCCGGGGCGCGAGCAACATGTTCGACCGCTTCGCGCGTTGACGGATTGGTGAACAACGAATAGCAAGTCAGGCACGTCCCGCTACAGGAAGAATATTCCCCACGAGTCAAAAAATAGTATGGGGGCGATTGTTGGATTATTTTGACTGTTTCGGAGTATGTTTGACTATGTTTGTTTGTCCTTGAAAATCCGCCTGTAGGAGGACATACCCGACCTAAAACAAATATGCACCGCGCCCAGGCCGGAGATCGATTAAGAAACATGGGGCGCGGCGCCTGCGCGAGAGTGATACATTTCTCCCTGACGCGCGGAATCTGCGCCCCGTCCCGTTCTGCCAGACAGTGTGCAATTTCGACGCCCAAACGTCTTTGTTGAGAGGAACAGCGTCTACATTGTTTTTCTCTTTTGCAGGGGGAATGAGATGGCCTGGATCTGGTTGAGCGGCGGAGTGGGAGTACACAGTAATGGGGAACATTGGTCGGAGGAGGAGGAGGAGGAGGAGGGAGGAGGCAGATCCGACGTTCGATGATAGATGGGTTGCATGTGTTCTTCCCCCGGGGTCCTCCAGAGGCCTCCATTCCTCTAAGGGTCCCTGGAGACCTCTGGCGTGCTATATGTTTTCATATGGTTTTGGGGGATCCACGGGCCCAGGGAGATGAGGAAGGAGCGAGCAGGAAGGAGTTACGTGTGGGAAAGGGGGGGTGACGATGGAGGCGGAGGGCTCGAAGTGTCTTTCGTGTTCCCCCCTCCGGGGCCTCTCATGGGCCCTTTTTGGGGTCCTGTTGGGCCGTCTTTGGATCCTCGTATGCCGCCTGGGGCGATCTTGGTGGCCCATTGGGCCGTGTTGAGGCGATCTGGGGAGCCTCTTCGGCCGTCTTGAAGCGTGGGACGCCCCAAAATGCGATACCACTCAAATCAATCAAACGTCAAAAGGATACATCTCTATGTGTGTATACATTCACACACATAATATATATATCTATACATATATACATATACATGAGTTTGGCCCCTCGGGGCTCTCCTGTCTCGGGGCGCTCTGCACTTCTCCAGAAAACCTGAGAGGGTCATTTGGGTTGTTTTGGGCGGGGTCACCGTCCTGGAGGCCAACGCGAGAGCCCCAAAGAGCGCCACGGAACGCCCAAGAATTCTAGTAATTTCTGGGTCCGAGCCCTGACGAATTTGAGAATTCCCCTTGCACCTCCCAGAGCTGCATGAGACTCTGGGCACTTCACTACGCGCTGAAGGCACGGCGGCAGATCAGCCCGAGAAGAAGGAGGGGCTTGAACACATGCGATGGTATGCTGCAAGTGTTTCCGCAAATTCTTTGGGTACTGTCAGGTGCTGCAGCAGCGGCGGTGATTCTTCTACCAGTCTCGCTCGTGTTTTACAGCATCTACAGTCGCAGCCCGGAGTTGCAATTGCTTGTTTCTTTCCCTGAATTGTGGAAATGCACGTGATGTTTAGTGGCGGTGGTCGGAATTCCGTTTGAGGGTGCGCATAACACGCGAAGTTCGAGATTCCAAAAGCGCTGGTTCAGTTAAGTTGATTAGATATTCCCCTTTCGTATCAGTGCGATCGATAGTCCGCGGCAGCTGCCCGAGTGATGTTTTTTCAAGCATGAGTGCGACCAGATTCTTGGTCACATGCCATGATCTCCGCATGTGACGCGTCTCGGTTACATGGACTCATTGTCACTGAGTGCATTCATAGTGGCATGCCGTGCTTGGTAAGAGGCATCTTTGAAATAGTGATGCATACCCTTGTGTGGTAATGTTGACGGCATGGGTGCGAACTTCGTGCGAATTGACAACGGCACGGTGGAGTAGTCTATTGCCTTCTGGTCGCATTGCCGCAGGACATCCAAAGTGGGCAGTTACCGCCGTTGGCCTTCTCTGGAGCCCTGACGCCTGCTGCTGCAACTTCTTCAAACACCTCGGCAACGTCTTCAACTAAGTTGGACACGCTTGCCTGCTCTCTCAGAGCCGATTTTCATTAACAGTTACGTGTAGTGTAGAGGTTGCATATTGATTTATTGTACGCATGATGGTATCAGTGTAAGCTGCCTCGTGTTGCACAGCAGGTGTGCGTTGTTGGATATGGAGAGTGGTGCGTTGGTTACCGTCCACTCCATGGCATCGAGTTGATGCGGGATCTTGGTTGCAGTGATAGTGTTTGAATGATTTGACAGTGCCCCACACAATATGCAAGGAAGTGGCTGCAGATGGTACGGCGACAGAGAAGTCGGGCGGCCTCTCGTTTGAGGAGCCCTCTGCTTTGACATTCGCCGCAGACGTTTAGACTTCCAGCACGGATCGTCGATTGCGAGGGTCATTCAGGGTGCAAGTTCTGTACACAGGGTGGCGCAGAGTGTTGTACACGTATACGCACGGTGACGCAGGGTGTTGTACACGTGTACGGTTGTGGTTGGTGCATTGGTAAGCGTTGCCCGTGGCAGTGTCTTAAGTATATAGTGGTTTGTTTCGTCGATGTTCCAGAGAGCCAGCATGGAAGTCAGGGGGCAATCTTCAACGAACGTTTGTCGGGTGTGGGGTCGTTGTGCACGTGGCAGCTTTGAGACGTCATGGGCTGCGCGTGGGTTGGTCCGAGTGTTTGACTACAACATGTGTGCTATGGGAGTATGGATTGGATTGCATTGCTTCAGGTTTGAATGTTGCTATGGCATATCTAACCACATCGGCCAACCACGTATGGTTTCTAATGTGTTATGTCAGCCCTGCGTGTATTCACAATGCACCTCGCGAGATTGCCAGTTGAGCATCCTCCTCATGAGGGGCGCCGAGGTCGCCTTGACGCAAGCTGACATTTGAATCTGAACGAAGATGACATACGGATGACAGTGCGTTGCAATGCGATGTGATGCATCGCGGAGCGATGTTTGCGAGGGAGTTGCTTCTAGAGCAAATCATGGGAGCCGTGTATGTTCTCAAATCAGCCCTTGGAGTGCATTCGCATGCTCCAGTGTTTGGGAATCGGTGAGAAAGCTCCGAAGTGGCGTCGATGAGTGTCGACTAGCATCGGTTAACGTCGATTCGCACGAGCCAGCAAGATGGCACTGGAGGTCCCCATGATTTGCCATCGAAAACAACTCGGCTGCCATTCACCCGGCTACGATGCCGACGGCGACGACGGCGACTTGTGCCAAATACCCGGCTTCCTTCTGTCGGGCCGATCCCCCTCGCCAGGACGTCAAGAAATACGGCGTCGCGGGGACGGTGGCGTATGTCTTGACCGAGTTAGCCTTCTGGGCCGTGGCCGCTCCCGTCGCGTCGTGCTCAGCTCAGTCGCGCCCCCACCACCACAGCGACAAGGGGGCTTGAGGCCATGATGTCATTCTGCCGTTTCTGGGCTTTCAGGGCCCGATTGGTGCCTTGGGACCATCCAAAAGCCACTCAGGATGAAGAGCCGCTCGATCTTGGGGAGCGCCCCGAGGTCCAGGATCCACTTCCCCCAGGACACGTTGACCTCATGGCAGGTCGCCCCCCTTCTCCTTGATGTTGCGACCGCCCGGCGCTAGGAGTGGCCTGCCTCCTACAGGAGGAGGGGGCCTCCAGGAGGATAGCGAGGAGGAGGAGGAGGGGTATGATCAGAAGGAGGAATACTTTGAGGGGTCTATTAAGGGTTCTACAGGGGAGCGGGGAGAGGATGGGGAAGGGGAGGAGGAAGAAGAGGAGGATGAGGAGGAGGACATGTTACCTTTGAGAACGTTTTGGCCGTTGGGGGAGAGGGGGCCTCCCTGGGGGATCTCTCGTCGCCATTGCTGGGTCTGCCCCTTGAAATCGTTGGGCAGAGCTCGCCCAAGAAGAGGTCAAAGGTGGCGAGTCTGACTCACCGAGTGCATTCCACTACTCGCAAAGTGCATACTCGCAAGCGTCCGAAAAACAAACGTTCGCCTCGATGTAAGTTATCGTAAACCCTTCGCGACTGATCCAGGCTAGTTGCGAGTAGTGAATTTGCGAGTAGTGGAACGCGCTTGCCTATTGAGGAGGGTCGGCGGCGAGCGAGGGTGGGAAGTGAGAAGGAGGAGGTCCTCTCAGAAGGCTCGGAAGTCCCTTGGCCTTCTGAGATGCGTTCCAACCTTTCCCCGAAGACACAGAGCACTTCTCCAAAAATGCGCGAGGGCTTCTGAGAAGTCCCGCCGCCTTCGGAGGAGGCCTAGTCCTTCTCACTCTCTCCCCCTTGGCTCGCCGCCGAGAGGAGGGAGGAGTGGCGCAGCCGACAGAGGGCGTCCAAGAGCGAACACCGCCTAGTCAAATCGGGAGGCAGGCTGGGCAGGAAGCACAAGCCCGCGCGAGACATCAGTGCGACCTTGGCCTGGCCCGATGCCACCCCGTCACCAGCGGCTGGGGCTGGCCGAGGGCCTTGGCCAGGAGAGACGGGGAGCGGGCGGGTCACCCGTCCGCGGGTGAAACCCGTGCAGAGCGCGCGCGAGATATGGGAGCGCTCGTTCGCCATAGTCGAGACGACCATGGAGCGGCCCTGGCGAAATCCCGAGAGTTTGGGAGTGCTTGTCGACGACATCAGCGCCACACTCGACGCACACGGGCACAGGTCCGCGGCGCTCCGCCCCGTGGCTACGGGCCCGACGGCGTTCCACCTCCGCCTCCGCCGCCCGACATCCACCCTCAAGTGGGAGAGGAAGAGGTGGAGGATCGATGCCCGCCTCGTCGGGCGCCCTCTTCGCCAGCCCGACGGCGGCCGACGCTTTAGGGCGGACTGCCTCGGGAGTGAGGGAGCAGAAGCGCTCCGCCGCCCCTTGGGCGGCCACCGTGGGCTCACATGCGGTCTGACGGAGCGACTTGAGGGAGAGGGGTGATCGCGCAAATCTGTTGCAGCCCACGCACCTGTATTCCTTAATCCGTTCGCACACGCACGCGACGATAACTCCGCAACGATTGCGGACCCCCAAGATTTGCCGTCCGCGGCGGAGCCGTTCCCCGCCCATCTGTCGCCGCTTCTGGGGCTACGACCTGGAAAATCCAGGCGAAGACCTTCGCAGTGGCCTTAGCAACAGCCAGCTTACGATGTTGAAGTCCACCAGAGCCGAGGCCACCGCAGTGCCATCCGCCCCGAGGCGCGTAAATTGGTCGGCCCATGCACTACCTGGCCAGAGCAGCGCATCGTTGGCGGAGTCCTCCAAGCAAGGGAGAACGACCCACCCCCACACCCACCAGGATGGGACACGTCCCCTGGCGACGATTGCGAATCGCGACTTCTCTGGGTTTAGACACAGTGTTATATTATTTCCTTCGTTCTTCCTAAACCAGTTCTTGCGTGCTTTATATACGCGTTTCTGCGTTTATGGCGTTGCACGTGCGCGGTGACGTGGTTTGGAACATGCCATAGACAAGTTCGTGCGCGGCAGTTTTTCATGTTTAAAAGGTGTGGGTATGAATTGAACACGTTGTTTGTTTTACAGGAATATTTTCTTGCTGGCCGTCGGTGATTGTGTTGTTCGTAAGTGTGGAGATGGCTTGGGTCGCCCTCATCCAGAACATCCTGCAGCTCGCAATGCGCTTGGGTCCACCCGTGCGTGGGCGGCTCACCCTGGTTATGCAGAGCGTGCGTACCGAGCAGACGGATCAGTCGGGGCGCGCATGGGGGGAACGCAGCGACGCGCGCCCCCGCTGCCGCGCTCAATCGCAGGTACTCGGGTAAGCGCGCGGCCGTGGGCTTGAGTGCGGCGCAGGTGAATAATACATGTTTTTCAGGAACACCGCGCGTGCCCGCCTGTGTGTCTCTTGCTGCCTTGGTTTGCTGGGTGGCCCCGCGGCCCTGTCTTGCTGGCTGTGCCTCGTTGCTGTCTCGTTCGTTTGTTCGGTTCGCGTGTTCGCGTCTGCTTTCCCCCGCTGCCCCCCCAGTTTGGTTTTGCCTCGCCGCGGTTGGCTTGCTTTCGGTCTTTGCCTTGCGCGCGGGCTTCCCCCCCTTACTGGGCTCACTGCGAGGCTCGGCAGGAGGAGGAAGGAGGAGGAAGAGGCGGAGGAAAAGGATGAGAGAAAGGAGGAGGATGAGGAGGAAAATGAGGAGGAGGCGGAGGAAGGAGGAGGAGGAAGAGGAGGAGAAGGAGGAGGCCTTCGCTTGTCCCTGTCCTGCTGGCTGGCCTCTTGGCTGTCGCGTTCTTCTGGTCTGCGTCTTTCCGCCCGTGTGCCCCCAGCCCCCTTTCTGACTGCATTGTGCCGTGCTTGCTCGCTTTTGGCCCCTGCCCCGCGTGCTGGCCTCCTCCCTCTGCTGGCTGCTGCCGCCCTGCCCCCCTTCGGTATCGTTTAACCAATCCCCATCCCCATCCCCATCCCCTTCGAGGCCCCCACTACATTACCACCACAGTTGGGGATACTCCCCTCGAAACCCGAAGGGAAGGACCTATATTCCCATCTAGGGGGGTATATCGGCTGGTGGGGCCCAGGCCACGCCGCTGGGGATGGGGATCGACTAAACGATACTCATGCCGTTCAGCCCCCTCTGTGCCCTTTCGCGCGCGCGCGCCAGCGGCCGTCGCGCCGCCGCCTTTTCCGCCCCGCGCAGGTTCCGATTCCCCCTCTCCCCCCTTCCGAGCGCGACTTCGTCTTTGCATGCGGTTCTCGCCCTTTGGGTGACAGTGTGCCGATGGGTCGGAAACGCCGAGGCGGGCGGTTCGGTCCTTGTGGTAGTTTTTTCATCCCTCGTTTTGCCGATCGGCGCGGGCCCTCGCCCCCCCCCCCCCCCCCTGGAGTGGATCTTGGTTTTGTTTTGGTGCCTGTTTCGAGCAGGTGGAGCCTCCATATATATATATATATATATATATATATATGTTCATATATATATAGTGAAACATTCACCTTGGGTTTCTGCTCGCTTTCCCTCGTCTGATGTGCGCGGCTCGAGGTCAGGAGCTCGCCCTCCCCGCGGGGCTCTGCGTTATCCGGGCGGCGCGGTGGCCAGATGCGGGGCCCGAGGCGCGGCTTGTCGCCCCTCGCCGCTTGGGTCGCGGAGGCGCTCTGGCACGCGCCCGCGCGCGCGGCCTGCTCGGCTCATCGCGCGCGGGGCTGGGCGACAGAGCGCGCGGGGCAGCCCGCGTTGAGTGCGGGAGCGCGCAGGGCACGCGAGTGCTCGTTGCTCTCGGCCGTTACGCTTGCATCCCTCGAGGAGGGTCCAGCGGTCGGTCGGGTCCGAGCGAGGGTTGCGCATGAAATGGGCGAGAATGGTTTGACGGCGTCGAAGTTGGTTGCCATTTCGTCGGCGAGCGATTTGAAGTTGCTCGGGGAGCTGCTCGCCCTCACGAGGGGGCCCCTGGCGCGGTTGTTGGCGCGGTTCAACTGCGACGACCAATCGGGTCAGTGCGTCCACGCGGACGTTTGCGATGAGCTGATGGCGACGCGCCCACAGCTTTTCGATCTCGAGCTGTTGCCAAGGTGCGCGTCACCTCGGCGGGGGGACGGCCCTGGCGGCGGGCCCCAGGCGGCTTCGCAGGCTGCTGTGCCTGGGATTTTTTGGAAGACCGCTTGGCACTCACCTGCACGTTCGAAAGTTGCGGAGCGGGGGGCGCGCGGGGGGGCTCTCCTGGGCGGGTCGCCAGGCCCGGGGTTCCCCGTGCTACTCGCGGCACGATCCGGGAAGCTCCCTTGGTTGGCTGGTTTACTTTTTACTTAACAGCTTTTGCTGATAGGTTTCTAGTGGGCTCAAAAGAGAGCATCTTGACGCCCCAGGGGGGTCTGGGCGGGATCCGGACAGGGGATCCTGACAGATCCGGCAGCCCCAGGAATCCTTGGGAATCCTTAGGAATCCTTGGGAATCAATTTCCAGAACACCATTCCCAGGCCACATTTTGAATGCCCGGAGCCAACTGTAGGCCACTTCGTGTTCTTCGTGCTCCCAGAGCACCATTCCCAGGCCACATTTTGAATGCCCGGAGCCAACTGTAGGCCACTTCGTGTTCTTCGTGCTCCCAGATCACCACTCCCAGGCCACACTTTGAATGCCCAGAGCCAACTGTAAGCCACTTCGTGTTCTTCGTGTTCCCAGGACACAATTCCCAGGCCACTTCGTGTTCTTCGTGTTCCCAGAACAGCACCCCTGTACCATATTTTGATTGCCCAGAGCCATCTGTGGGCCACTTCGTGATCTTCGTCTTTCCGGAACACCAGTCCAATGCCATATTTTGAATGCCCGAGCTGAGGCAGGCTGAGGCCGAGGCAGGCTGAGGCCGAGGCAGGCTGAGGCCGAGGCAGGCTGAGGCTGAGGCTGAGGCACGCCGAGGCAGGCTGAGGCTGAGGCTGAGGCAGGCTGAGGCTGAGGCAGGCTGAGGCTGAGGCTGAGGCTGAGGCTGAGGCTGAGAGGCTGAGGCAGGCTGAGGCTGAGGCTGAGGCTGAGGCAGGCTGAGCTGAGGCAGGCTGAGGCTGAGGCTGAGGCTGATGCAGGCTGAGGCTGAGGCTGAGGCTGAGGCCGAGGCTGAGGCTGAGGCAGCAGGCTGAGGCTGAGGCTGAGGCAGGCTGAGGCTGAGGCTGAGGCAGGCTGAGCTGAGGCAGGCTGAGGCTGAGGCTGAGGCTGCAGGCTGAGGCTGAGGCAGGCTGAGGCTGAGGCTGAGGCAGGCTGAGGCTGAGGCTGAGGCCGAGGCAGGCTGAGGCTGAGGCCGAGGCAAGCCGAGGCAGGCTGAGGCTGCGGCTGATGCTGAGGCAGGCTGAGGCTGAGACAGGCTGAGGCTGAGGCTGAGGCTGAGGCTGAGGCTGAGGCTGAGGCCGAGGCAGGCTCAGGCCGAGACAGGCTGAGATTGAGGCTGAGGCTGAGGATGAGGCCGAGGAAGGCCGAAACTGAGACAAGGTGAGGCTACATGGGGGGGGGGAGGAGGGGAGGGGGGGGAGGAGGGGAGGCTGAGGCAGGCTGAGGCCGAGGCAGGCTGAGGCCGAGGCAGGCTGAGGCTGAGGCTGAGGCACGCCGAGGCAGGCTGAGGCTGAGACTGAGGCTGAGGCTGAGGCTGAGGCAGGCTGAGGCTCAGGCAGGCTGAGGCTGAGGCTGACGCAGGCTGAGGCCGAGGCAGGCTGAGGCTGAGGCTGAGGCAGGCTGAGGCCGAGGCAGGCTGAGGCTGAGGTCGAGGCAAGTCGAGGCAGGCTGAGGCTGAGGCTGAAACTGAGGCAGGCTGAGGCATTCGTAGGAATCCATAGGAATCCTTAGGAATCCCCAGGAATCCTTAGGAATCCGTAGGCATCCTTAGGAATCCGTAGGCATAGTTAAGCATCCTCAGGAATCCTTAGGAATCCTTAGGATTCCCTAGGAATCCTTAGGAATCCCTAGGAACCCATAGGAATCAGGATTCCTAAGGTTTCCTAAGGATTCCTATCGATTCCTAAGGATGCCGAATGATGCCTTGGGAATCCCTAGGACTGCGACTGTCATTGCGAATGCGACTGCGACTGCGAGAACAGCAGAATTCTACAACTGGATTCTCACCTGAATCTTAAGGGGAACGCTTCCAGATATGCTGATACACATCGCTGTCAGGTTGCTTTGCCGGGATAATTTTGTCCTTTTCTGGGAGCTCTGTCGGCCCCTTCAGCCAGAAGTCCCCTGCAGACGTCATCAGCGACTGCCCAATGAGCCCCAGAGCACCCTGTCCACCGAGGGCGCGCTTGGCCTCGGACTCGATGATGGTCGATCGTGGCGTCGGCAGCGTCGACGGGCACGGTGCCGGGTTGGGCGTCGGGCAGGGCGTCGGCGTCAGGCGGGACGTCGGGTCGGGCGCTGGGCAGGAGATCGGGCGAGGCATCGGCGCCTGGAAAGAGAAGGGGGACTGAGGATGCGGCCGGGCGTCGCGCTGGGCGCGGGGCCGGGCGCGTGGCCCGGCGTCGCCGACGAACGTGGCGCGGGGCTGGGCGTCGGGAGGGGCGTCGTAGAGAGCGCCCAGAAGGGCGGCGGGAAGGGCGGAGAGCTGGGCCTCGGGTGAGGGAGAGGGCACAGCAGCATCGGGCATGGTGCCGGCCGGGGTAGGTGGAGGGCTGCGCTCCAGGCGAGGCGGAGGAGTGGAGGTCGTGAGGGGCGCCAGAGATGGCGCCGCGCTGGCCGTCGGACTGGCCAACGGGCTCGGCGGAATGCTGGGGTTTTGGCGCTACAGCCGATCACGTCGGGCTCGGACTCCGAAACCTGCATCTCTTCGAGCAGCGGCCTGGCACGCTGCTGCTGTTCTCTATCACGGCACGCGCTACCCCCGGCAGTGCAACAGATCGCGGTGGCGGCGAGCGGCGGAGTGACCTAATGCCGTTGCTCTCTGTTTACACGCTTGCTGGTCCCAGCGTTGTAGGTGATCGCTGGTTGCATTGGGCTCCTACTTGCATTCGTACGAGTAGCAGCTGCGCGGCTAGCTGCCACTGCTCATGAGCCTTGCGCTAGCGGATCCCAGCACTGTAACCGAGAGAGCGAGGTTCGGAAGTTGCGCCCCGCACCTCGCAGAGCAGCGGCGTGGCCCGCTGCCACTGCTGTCTATTTGCGGGCGCTCTGATCACGGCATTCTAGCTGATCGCGCTGGGTTCCAGATTTGCGTCCCTTCGCTGGGCAACTGGTTGGCCCGATGCCACTGCTGCCCCATCTGGGCTGTGCTGACCCCGGCGCTGTAGCCGATCGCGTCGGGTTCCAGGCTTGGGTCCAGCGTCCCGCTGAGCAGCGGTATTGCCTGCTGCCGTTGTTCTCCATTCTGGCACTCGCTGGTCCCGTAACACTCTGCGTCAGACTGAACGCCGCCGTCGGGGAGGGTCCAGGCCGAGCGTCGGGATGGGTGTCCGGCGAGGCGATGGGGAAATGAAGTGTAGGTCGGAGTGCCGGGGTATTAGGAGCGATTCGGGTCGAGAGTGGTGCTGCGCGGCAAGGCGCACGAAAGGCCGGGCGTACGGTTGGGCAGAGAGGGTGAGGCATCGAGCACGGGGGAGGCATGGGCGCGGGGCTGGGCATCGGGTGTCATCGGCATCGCCCGCTGCCGTTGCTCTCTGGCCCCACGCCCGTTGAACCCATAATTGTAGCGGATCGCAGTGGGCATTAATTCTCCAGCGGGTTCCTTCTCGCACTCGCTGATTACTGCGGCTGCCGCCGCCGGCCGGCGAGCGCGGGGGCCGCCGCGGGCGCCAGCAGGGCCGGCGGCCACTGCGGCGCGGGCAGCAGCAGCCCCTCGCTGCCGCCGCCGCGGGCCGGCGGCTCCATCGCCCACGGCAGGCGGCCCAGCCGAAGGGCAGCCGCCGCCCTGGGCGCGCAAGCCAATGGGGCTCCCTCGAGCCAGAGCGGCCTCAGCCACAAGAGGCCAAAGGCTACGGAGGGGGATCAGGAACAGGAGGAGCAGACGGAGGGATGAGAAGGGGAGGAGGAGAAGGAGGATGAGGAGGAGTGAAAAGAGACACAGGGCAGAAGGGGAGGAAGGATGTGGAGGAAGAGGAGGGGGAGGAACAAAAAGGAGGAAGAGGAGGAAGAGGAGGAGGAGGAGGAAGAAGAGGAGGAGGAGGAGGAGAAGGAGCGAGGGAGGATACGGAAGAGAAGGAGGAACAGGAAGAAGAAGAGGAGTAGGAAAAAGGAAGGAATGGGAAGGGAGAGGGAGAAGGAGGGGGCGAAAAAGAAAAAAAAAGTGTTGTGATGATGATGATGATGATGATGATGATGATGATGAGGATGAGGATGAGGATGAGGATGAGGATGAGGATGAGGATGAGGATGAGGATGAGGATGAGGATGAGGATGATGATGATGATGATGATGATGATGATGATGAGGATGAGGATGAGGATGAGGATGAGGATGAGGATGAGGATGAGGATGAGGGTGATGCTGATGCTGATGATGATGATGATGATGATGATGATCATCATGATCATGATCATGATGATGACGCATATGCTGATGATGATGATGCTGATGATGATGGTGGTGGTGATGATGATTATGATGATGGTGATGGTGATAATGATGATGATGATGATGATGAGGAGGAGGAGGAGGAGGAGGAGGAGGAGGAGACTGGCTGAGGTACTCGCTGTACTCCACCACAGGCGCCAGCATTCACATCTGCTACTTGTCGGGCCCTCCAGATGGCCTGGGCGTGCTCGTAGATGGGGATCTCCGGATGCCTCTTGCAGACTGTTCGCAGCGCTCGCAAGGTCTCGACGGTTTCTGGCGGGTATCGGAACGTCCTGGAGTTCCTTGGCTCTTGTTTCGAAAGTTGGTTCTCGGAGGTGGTTGGTCCAGGTTGTGTGTAGTTATGTTGATGTGTATGTGTATGTGTATGTGTATGTGTTTGTGTTTGTTTGTGTTTGTTTGTGATTGTGTTTACAATTGTGCTTGAATTTGTGTTTGCGTGTGCGCGTGTGTGTGTGTGTGTGGGTGTGCGTGTGTTCATGTGTGCGTGTGTGCGCGTGTGTGCGCGTGCGTGCCTGTGTACGTGTGTGCGTGTGTGCGTGCGTGCGTGCGTGCGTGCGTGCGTGTGTGCGTCTGTGTGCGTGCGTGCGTGCGTGCGTGCGTGCGTGCGTGCGTACATGCGGGCGGGCGTGCGTGCGTGCGTGCGTGCGTGCGTGTGTGTGCATCTGCGTGCGTGCGTGCGTGCGTACGGGCGCGTGTGTGCGTGTGTGTGTGTGTGTGTGTGCGCGTGTGCGTACGTGCGTGCGTGCGTGCGCCAAGAGGTCTTGCCAGGTACCGTGTAGGGGTGCGACAGTTTCCGCCGTTGTGCGCTTCCTTGTCAGGTCTGGAGAGCTTCTCTTCTCGAGAGACGGAGCGTGAGTCGAAGCTCGAAGTCGGGATCCAGGAGCGGCAAGTTCTTCGGAGGTTTCTGTCCCTAGGGTTCGCGCCATCGTCGATTGATATGGGGGATCCGAAAGCTCGGTGGCGCGCACACAGAGCTGGGCGAGGTGGCCGGCCATTTTACGAAGGCAGGAGGCTTGCTGGGGCGTCTTGCTTCCAAGGGAGAGGACTGCTTAATAAGCCCCCGCCTTATTAGAAGGTTGCCCCCCTCGCCGAACCGCCGACCCTGGTCACATTTTTGTCTAGGAACCCTCTCGGGGTCCGTACTGGCAAGTTTTCCGAGCCGCATCCAGCCGTGGCGTTGAAGACCTCCACAAGCGCCCCGAGACCTCCAAAACGGCCGTGTCAGCGCCATCGTGCGCGTCAAGCCCCATGAGGTCTGGAAGGCCTTTCGCCATCTTCGGGCACAGAAACTCCAGTAGCCGAAGACAGAACATGTTCGCTCAGGGATTCCTCTTCCTCAAGGCGAACCCAGTCGGCTGGAGGGCCAAGCCACACCCTAGGAGCTGGATGAGCAGGCGGAGTGGTGGAAGGGTTCTGGGGGTTCATTGCGTTTGGGACGACAGTGTGTTCAGAGAATGGGTTAGTGTTTGTTTCAAGCTGTCCGGAGCCGGCCATACATAGAGGATGTGCTCGGTAGCAAGCCCAAGGGGGAGCCCAGCAAATCCTATCAGAATCCCCAGCCGGTGCAATTCCCATGGCTGTTGTGAGGTCTCCCGCCCCGTGGGTGCTCTACCACCTGGTCACTGTCGGTGTTTGCATAAGCTGGATCCCGAAGCTCTGGCCAGGCTTCAGCGCAGAGTCATTTCATTGGAGTGGTCCAATGGCGCATCCCGCGTGGTTTGTGTAAGGTGCAAGGCCTATTCGGGCCATGGGATGGTGCGCAACCTGGCACGTCTTTGCGTTGGTTCCCCCACAAGTGCGGGTGCTCGATATGCCTGGAAGCAGATCTCTCAGGGAGCTCACCTGAAACTCGCGGGGGTCACGGTCCAGGTCGGCCCCTGGTCACATGATACCCAAGGTACGGGACCAGGCGGAGCAGCAGCCCCTCGATGCTGCTCCCAAATCCTCAGAGGTGAATGGCTCCGCGGAGGAAAAAACATCCTCCTCCTCCCCCTCCTCCCCCTCCTCCCCCCCCTCCTCTTCCTGCTTTTGTTTTGCATCCCCGATCTCAGGCACCAGCGGGCCACGGGCGTGCGCGCGTGGCACGGGCGTACGCGCGTGGCACGAGCGCGGTGCAGGAGGAGGAGGAGGAGGAGGAAGAGGAGGAGGAGGAAGAGGAGGAGGAAAAAGAGGAGGAGGAGGAGGAGGAGGGGGAGGAGGAGGAGGAGGAGGCCGAGGCTTCAAGGATCCCCAACACAGCCTTCGTTCCCAGGTCCCAGGAAGAGGAGCTGGAGGAGGAGGAGGAGGACGAGGAGGTGGAGGAGCAGGGGAGAAGGAGGAGGAGGGGGGTGAGCCGGGGTAGGGGGAGGGGGAGGCGGCCCACGAGGAAGAGGAGGAGAATTGGCAGGAAAAAGAGTGTGCGTAAAAGAGCGCATGGGGGAATGAGGGAGGGGCGCAGGAGGAGAAGGAGGAAGTGGAGGAGGAGGAGGAGAAGAGGGAGGCGACGGAGGAGGAGGAGAGGGAGGAGGAGGAGGAGGAGGAGGAGGAGGAGGAGGAGGAGGAGGAAGGGGCGAAGGAAGTGAGACATTGTTTGTTACTGGAACGAGGGGGTGGTTACTGAAGCAATATCCTTGTTATAGTTGAGCGGGTAAGCCCGGTTGCGAAAACAATTCCTTGTATTACAAAGAGATTGGCCCATGTACTGAAACAATGATGTTTGATACCGAAGCGGGTGGGGCCGGTTATTGAAACACGTCTCTTCGTTTTTGAAATGGTTTTCGTTGATTCTGAAACGTTTTTCTTGTCATTCGAACGTTTGCCTATGATTGAAACGGTTGTTGTTCTATTCCGCGTATGCCTCCTGTGGTGCAATTGCCGCTGTGCGCGGGCATCATGATTTGAGTTGCTGTGGCCGCGTTCTCCTGACCTCCCTTCTTCAAGCAAACAATTCCGAGGCTCCGTCACGCGTGGGGTTGCATCCGCGGTTCGTTTTCATTTCCGCAGTTGGCTCGTGGCGACCACAGCGCGGGCGTGGGGTGGCGGCTGAGCCTTCCCAAAAGGGCGATAGGGGCTGATTTGGGCGTGCTGGTATTCTAAGCGACTTGCGTACGCCCCGACTCCTCGTAGGATTAGGTAGGGGAGTGGTTACGTGATTGGAGCCATGAGTAAGTTGCCATGCAAAGCATGCTACTGTTGTCGTAATATGCCCTGGTGGAGCAATGTGTGTGTGTGTGGCAGCACGCGTGCAGCATTGTCAAAGTACGCGGCGTACTATCAAGTTTGCACCCGTATTCAGGGCATTGGCCTGACCTGCTCACGAACAACGAAGATCGCGCGGAGGGGATAGGCATGGACAGGGGTGAGTCCAGGGATTTGCACAGGAGGTGGAGTTCCTTGGCAGTGCACACCATGGGGAGGGTCGTTCACACGCATTCCGACCCCCTTCGATCATCAACAGCTATCCGTTCCTTGCCCTTGCCGCCCACCGTCCTTGAACCAGTCGCGCAAGTTGTGCATCTCCCGTTGAGGAGTAGCAGGTGGAGGAGGGAGATCATGGTATCACTATTGCGGGTGCGAGACGCGCTTCCAATGCTTGTCAGTCCAGATGCGCCTTGCTGAACTCATGATTGGAACGCTCGCCCGTTATGCAGTTGCGATCTACAAGCGGTCAGCCTATGCATGTGCCACGGTGTCGGAGACCAGCGTAACATCCATTGACGCAACGTTGTCGGTGGTGTCACGGTTCAAGTCTATCAGACCCAGGCCAAGGTGCACATTGTTGGACGTGTAATAGTGTACGGCCACGCTGTCACAATGTAGTGTCTGCAGGGCGATTGAGTCTAGTACATCGCGATTGCGTCTTGAGCAGCATCATCTGCAATGCGTTACCGTTTGGTATGGGATCGGCTCACGGACGCTGTCGGACGGACGCAGAGTTGCGATGGTGAGTGTCCAGCATGCTTGGTCTCAGATGGCAGGGCTGAGCCTAAACGGTGTTTTTCGTGTTCGTTTTGTTTTCGTTTTCCCTCGTTTTGTCTTCAATCCGCCTTTAACGCCAAACGCCAAAGCACCGTTCAGGTCCACCCCCATGCCAGATGGGGCACCAGCGGCTCCATGCTTCCACGTGTGCCGCCAGCACCGCCCGCGAAGTTCTGCAGGCACTGAGCGCGCGCTCCGCCCTCCGCCACTCCCCCGTGGCCGCCTCCCCCCCCTCGCGCCTCCCGTGCTCCCTGGCCTGCCGCCTCCGACCGCGCCGAGCGCCCGCCAGTGTTGCGACAAGGCTCAGGAGGGAACAAAAACACACAGACACGATTCATCGTCGATTCCCCGGAACAGATAAGAAAACATGGAGAAAACATAGGAACATATGGGGAATTTTGTTATATGTGTCTGTTTATTTGTGTGTCCCAGGGCCCCTTCAAAGGCATGTTTCCACGTGTGCTCCTCCGCTGTAGCTCGGACGGGGCCAGAACGAGGATGAAAGCGTTCCAGAGCGCTCTCAGAGCGTTCCGGGCCGCTCTGAGAAGGCCGCGGCGCCCGACACATCTTCCAGAGCCGCCCGATCTCAGAGTTGTACGACTTGTCCTCACCCGAGTTTATCCTCGCCTTGGCTTCGTCTCAGTAGCGACCCTCCTCCCCCCCCCCGCCCCCTTCCCCCTGTGGAGCAGCAGCCGAGGAGGGGCAGCACGGGCCAGGCGGTCGCAGCCTTCATCTTCGCCGGCGCCAACATCGCTCGCGCCTTCGTGCCCATCCGGCTTGGCGCGGCCCTGGCGCTCGCACCCTGGCGGGGGGGCCCTCTGCCGGCCAGCCGAGAGGGGGAGGGAGGATCAGTATCGGGACGATCGGAGTGGGCACAAGGAATGGAGTACAAAGACCGACGGCATTTCCTGTTCGTTCTGAGCAGGACTCGTTGTCAGTGTCGCCGCGGATGATGCCCATTTTCGAGACAGAAGCCCGCCTGCTTAACAGCGCCCGCTGTCGGTGTTGGGCAATTTCTGGTTTTCGGCATCGCACCCATTTTTCCCCTACCCATTTCTGGTGCCCAAAAGCATAGTTTAGTTTACCCTTGTCCCCATGCCCATCCCCATCCAGACCCCCAGAATCTCACCACCCCAGTTGGGGATATGCCCCTCGGAACCCGAACAGGGGGGCAAATCGGCCAGTGGGGCCCAGGCCACGCCCATGGGGACAGGGGTCGATGAGACGACGCTCAGAAAAGCCCGTGCTCGAGCCGCTGCCGAAGTCGAGGCCGCCGGCCTGCCCACGACGCACGGAGAGGAGGCCGTCGGGGCCGTCGTGCGCCCCCTGCGTCTGTCGGCGAGTCCTGCCCCTGCGGTTTCCGACGACGGCTGCGGGGCCGAGCGCAGGGCCGGGCTGCGCACCTGCCGCAGGCCAGGGCTCCACCTCGGGCCGCCGAGGGGCAGGCCGGCCGTGCCCGTTGCTCACCGCGCGCGGGCGGCCCCTCCGGGGCCCACCGTCGGAGTGTCGACGGGAGGAGCGTCGAAGTGGTCCTGGAGGGGCTCGGCGGCGCGATCCTGTCGGAGCTCGATGTCCTCGCTCTCTGGCCTTCGGGGGCGCCCTCTGTCGCCCTCTGCTGGGCGCAGCTCGAGACGTGGGGCAGGATGGATCCCAGGTGATCGTTTCCTTGATCATTGTCTTGCCGATCGGCGCGGGCGGTGGCCCCCCCCTCCGCCCCCCCCATAGAGTAGATCTGGCTGCTTTTGGTGCCAAGTTCGAGCAGGTGGAGTCTCCCCCGTAGGACGCACTGTTGCAAACAGTCGCATTAAGCAGAGGTCCTGAGCCAGCCCCCCCTCCCCCCCCGTTCCGCGCAAGGTCGAAACGACAAATGAGAAAACGTTCACCAGGAGGAGTCCAAGGAATGTTTTCGAGTGGATTTGGGTCGGGGTCGGGGCGGGAGTGGCGGCGGCCTTCTAAGAAGGCACCCTTCCTTTCGGACGTCCTCCTACACCTGTTCAGCAGGCTTTAACTGTGGGGCCGATCCTTCCGACAGAGGCCCTCTGCATCCTTAGAAAGCCGCCCCCCTCGCCCCACCTTCGGTGCTCCGCCATTGTTCATTAGTTGTTTCGTTCGGGCCCCGCAAAAGGGCCCAGCCAGATCTGGTGAGACACGAGGCTTCGTTTTTTGTTAGGGCCTTCCACGCAGCAACACTTTGGTGGGCTGTGTGGCGCAGCGTCGCCAGATTTCAGTTCTGCTGCTGCTGCTGATGCTGCTGCTTCTGCTGCTCGGCTTCTCAGCTTCTTCCGACCCCCCGCCTCCCCAGGGTTGCCAGGGCAAGGAGCGTGATGCCCCAGTCGGACGGGGCCAGGACGAGGATAAATCCATTTCAGAGAGTTTCGCAACGCTCTCAGAGCGTTCCGGACTGCTCTGAGAAGCCCGCGGCGCCCGACACATCCCCCAGATCCGCCGGATCTAAGAGATTCTCGATTTATCCGTGCCCGATGTTATCCTAGTCCTGGCTTCGTTTTACCCAGAGGCTTCCGCAATTCCTGGAGCGGGGGCGCGGGGGCTTCGGACCAGCGGCCAAGGTTTCCGAACCCGAAGGCTTGGCGGCAAAATCCGTACCTTGCCCTCGCCGGTCAACGATTCGGGCAGCTCGGATGGGCGGCGGAGCTGGGGTTGGGAATGTGTCGAACACGTGGCGAGATCCGAACCCTGCCCCCCCCCCACCGACCCATCCAGCGGCCTTCTGGGTCCCCGCCCTCGTTC